GGTTTCTTGGAACCGGACAGAACTTGTTCGGGGTAGGTGGGATTGGGTGCTAGGACCCCCCACCTGTGTATGAGGCCCGGGGCCATCTGGGGCACGGATATTGCTGGGGTGTCGGAGGGGTTTTGCTCGGGAGGCTTCAGGCAGGCTGCTGGAGCACTCTGTGGGACTGGTTTGTGGCCTGTTTGGAGAGGTCACCAGTCTGGGGCTGTAAGGAGCCCCGAAGTTGAGCAATTCACCCTGAGCAGACGCCCTCAGCTGTGCCCAGACACGGCCCGGTCCGTCACACTGGGTAGTCCCTGAGCAGAACTAGAGACATAGTTCAAGCAAAGGGGCAATCCCTACGTACTTTATTTTGCAACTTAAGCAAGTAAGTGAAAGGCTGCACCTGTGATGGGAACAGCTAGTTTGAGAACTGATAAGGTAACTCCTTGTTTCTGTTCTCACCCTGATCTTAACGAACTGTCTCTGCCCTCTGTTTGTTTTAACTCCCTGTCTCCTTGTCGTTTGGTACTTGCCTTCTAGGCTGATAAGAAAGCTGTTGATGCATTATGAATTGCTTAAGGCCATGAATTATACACATTAACACTAGAAGCTTCTAACTAATTAAGGGGGGCTGAGACGCTTGGGCAAATGTTTTATGACACGACGGAACTGTCTATATAATCTTACTTGTTACTGAAATCAGGGCTGGTTCACTTGGGAGACGGGCCGCTCTCTATTGTAGTGCGCACTATTCAATAAAGAGCTTGTGATTGGATCTTGCTGGTATTGCCTGTCTCTTTGCGGTCAAATAACCCGGACGGCCTCCGTTCGTTGAAGTCCCTGACAAGACCATGTTCCCAGCAGGGATCTCCATTTCAATGGAGTGGCACCTACTCAGTATTTAGTGGGCAAACAAGCCAACTCCTCAAACAAACAACCTCACTCGCCACCTTTTCTTTCTTCTGTTAATAAACCTTTAGGCTACGTCTACACTGCAGGCTTTTTGCGTAAGAATGGCTGTTCTTGTGCATAAACTTGCAGAGTGTCTACACTGCACATGCATTCTTGCACAAGTACATTTACAGTACAGCATTGTAAAACAGAGCTTCTTCTGGAAGAGTTATTCCTCTCCCCACGAGGAATAAGCCCTCTTGCACAAGAGCTCTTCCACAAGAAGGCAGTGTAGACAGGCAACAGGAATTTCTTGTGCAAGAAAGCCCTATGGCTAAAATGGCTATCAGAGCTTTCTTGTGCTAGAGAACGTTCACACTGCCTTGGACGCTCTTGCGCAAAAGCACATGGCCGTGTGGATGTGCTCTTGTGAAAGACTTTTTGCACAAGAACTCTTGCACAAAACAGTTCTTGTGAAAGAAGCCTGCAGTGTAGACATAGCCCCAGATTTTTGTATTCTAAAGGACTGGCCCAGCGTGATCTTGTGGGTAAGCTCTAAAATGTAAGTTGACCTGGGAACTGTGGCTGGTTCTTTGGGACTGGGAGAACCCGTTTAGGGTAGGTGAGATTGGGTTCTAGAACTCCTCACCTGTGTGCAGGCCTGGGGCAGATTGGGGCACAGGGAGAGCTGGGGTGTCTGAGGGGTTTTCCTCGGGAGGCTTCCTGCTGGCCAGATAGGCAGCTGAAGCACTCAGTGTGACTGGTTTGTGACCTGTTTGGGAAAGGTCTGGGGCTGTAAGCAGCCCTGGTTTTGAGCAATTCGCCTTGAGCGGATGCCCTCAGCAGCTCCGAGACCCAGCCCGGACTGTCTCAGTGGTGTAGTCGGCAGGATCCACAGAT